GCTGTGTCAGCTTAGCAAGCTCCTCATGCTGCATACAGCTCTAATGTCTCCTAAGAGTGTGAATCATACAGTATAAGCATATCAATTGCTTTTTCCAAGTAAAGAACAAAAAAGCTTAAGAAAAATATACTGATGCTGAGGGCCTATCAGAACTCAAGGACAAAGTATACAATACGATGAATTATTAAATCCTTCAAGGATTGAAGAGTCAAGTCTGTCTTATTCATTTAGGGCTTGGCTATTCATTAGCACCCCCATTAGTAAATTCTCAAATGCACACAGCTTCTACGAATACAGCATTTACTCTGAAATCTCTTTTATTTTACACGTTATTAAGCATCACAATAACTCCTCCTTTAAGAGAGTTTATTTGTGGTCCTCGATTTTGTTTTCCCATTAAGTGCACTACAACCACACAGCACATAATCTATTTTTATATTTACTCTTCGCTTCATGTATTAAGATCAAGCTAAACATTTATAATGGACTTACAACAAAATGTAGTCGTCTTTTGCTACCACGAGCCTGGAATGAGTCACAGAAACTGCCATCAAGTACAGGAGCAGCCTACCCCCACCCCACCTTTGTCTCTTATACTTTCTTATTCCTCTTTTACACCAAAATTAAACTGACCCAGCAGACTCTTGTGTGGGTAGTTACAGTAGTAATGATTAACCAGAATGAGGAAATAAAAGGCTAAACATTTTCAAACAAGACACGTATCTAAGCAAATGTGCAGATAATATTGGGAATGAACCATTTGAATTAAACATCACATGCTTCCCTCACTGATTCATGTCCACACATACAACTCCACACCAGGACATGAATTGGAGCATATAGGACTAGTTCACTGACAGACTCAACTCAATAGACTGGGAGGAGGTGGGATGAGGAGAACTAGCTAGGCAGTGTATTGTTGGATGAATAAAAAATGAAAGTATAGTGCTTCAGTAAATTCGCTCTCTCCATCCCGTGAGGAGGGCTGGTGGTGGTAAAGGGGTGGGGGGGGGAGTAGAGGCTCGTTTGAAAACTGAACCAGTGCTGCATTCCCACATCCACCCGTATCCAGCGAGGGGCTCTTTAAAAATTCATTAATTTACAGCAAAAATAGATTAAAGCACCCAGCTGAGCAAAACTCAAATTTGGCTCCTGAATAACATTAATGATAAAATATCTCCCACAAGCCCAGGGGGGGGTTGCCTGAAGAGACGGTGCGGGCTTTTTTCACCTTACAGCACCTTGAGAGTCATATATTTTCAATCATCAATAGAATAAAGCATTTCTAATTGTCATTTTTAATTACGCTTTTCTTTGGATGGAATCAAGAGCTGCGCAAAAACCTGCAAAAAACTAATTAAAATCCATCCAAGGATCTGTTGTTCCCATGATGCCGTGCCAATGTCATTCTATTTACCATTTGATATCTCTGCTACAGAGACTCAATGACAGCTGCTCCAGGCCCCCAAAAATGCCTAGAACTGCAGTTACAGTAATTGCTCTGGCCAGCACTAAATGAGGTTCACTTAAATGCAATTATCCCCCTCTGATCTCTCACATAAAGAGACTTCTTTAACATGGAGAAGTGGGCTCACACAATGTGACTGCAAACAAGATTCAAATTGGAATCAGGGAGGCATTTCCAACAGATGAATGGCTTCATAGCTCATCTGCATTCTAGTGATGCACAGAGTTGCTAATGAAGACTGAGCCATTCCCTTCTTACCAACACAGCCACCATAAGAGCAAAACTTCACGCTAGATATGAGCAGAGTACCGGGAGAAATTTCTAACAAAACCATCCAGTCATTTGGCCCGAGCTGCGTTAGACGACAGCCCAGACTCCACGCAGAGTAAACAGCTGTTAAAAGGAAAGGAAGATCCTGTTTTTTTTGCCTATCCAAGGTGAAAAACGCACTGAAGGACAAGATGACGGGCAATGAAGCAAAGAGAAAGAAATTCCAACCTAAAATAACTTCACATTCCTGAGCAGAGAGGGATTGAGAAAGAACAACACATTGGATGCAGACCAAAAATAAGTCATTGTAAAAATAAAAAACCTAAACAGAGGCCTTTGACCAACAGCATCCCCACTACACCATGCCAAAAAAATATCAGCCATGCTCATGAATAAATTGCCATCTGCCAATCGCATATCACAATGGATTTTCTTACCCAAGGGTAACTGCCTAATAGGGGTTGCTACGGAGGGTACCTGTTGGGTGCTGTCCAAATACACAGGGTGGTGAGGGGGTGCTGTGATGGGCATTTCATGTTGCCAGAGGCTCATATACCTCCAGGATCCTGATAACTGCATCTCAAGGATGGCTATTTGAATAATCACTTCAACAAGGGGAGAAATTAAAAAGCCTCTCAGTGAGATGAGGCTAGGCACAGGGCCACACTCTGAATTCCAAATGAGGAGCTGGTATTCAAAAAAGTGGACGCCCGCTCCAAATTCACTGTACTACACTAGATGGCTGACCCCTGACATCTATCCAAATCAGCTCCACCTCATGTAATTATTACATTTAATTTATTACATTATACACAATCACCCCCAAGAAGAACATTATCTGTGACCCACTGATGAAGTGTCAATATTTATTTACACATAGTTATTCTGCTGCTTTGTGTTCTGCAGGTGACAACGAAATATTTTTTTCTATAGCGGTGATGGATCAATGTGCTGCCAGCGACACACACGCGAGCACACACACCTTGGAGAGGTAGGTGTCTAGTTTTCAAACCATTTGGCCATAGACTTTTTTTTTTTTTTAACCACTCCAGGCTAAACCCACCATTAACGAGAAGTTGTATCACATGCTCCCATTCACACTTTTAAACAGTTACAGTGAGAACATACACATGCGTAATATTTCCTATTGTGTCTTCACAGCTTTTCAGTCCATTGATCAAAAGCTTAAGGATTTTTTTAAGTCACTAACTCTGCTCAATGTGATTTGAGTCAAGAGCAGAAGAAAGGGGTCATCCTGTTAAGAATGTTGACAATAATAAATCCCCAAAAAACAATACAACAAAGCCTTTTAATTCAAGCCTGCATAACAGTGTTCGTCATGAACACATCCTTATAAACTCAAATTTGATGGAAGCAGCAGTAGTGTTCTTAAGGAGCACATTTTACAGTGTGTGGCTGTGATTCAAATTTCTGCATGCAATCTGTAAAAGGCATGCACTGGCTGTACTGTCTATTCTTTCACAGCCAGCCAGCAAACAACAGCAAAATGTCTCTTTCAATATCATGTCAATTTTGTGAATGCCATCAAGGTCCCAAATATCTGTATTGCAGGGGTTGAGACCAGCCCCGGACGGAGCTGCAGACACTACAATAAAATGCCACTCAACATAAACGGCACACTGAGCCTTTTTAACACCTTGTCTTGAAACTCAGGGCAAAGAAAAGTAGAGAAAAAGGAATAATTCCCAGAATAAGACAGAGTAATGATCCTATTAATTTCAAGACAATGGGCTAAATTAATCTATTCCAGCTCTGCTTACCTGGAAAAACTGCCTTCTACAGCTTCATGTACAATAGCTTCAATCCAGAAAGCTGTAGGCTTGCTATTTAAAGGATGGGTGATTAAGAAGCAAACCAGGTCTGACCTTTGATTGTGGGTGCTGACTAACGCTATGGGCATTTTGTTAGTTGAAGCATAAGGTCTGGCAAGGTCTTGGGATGTTTTGTTTTAATTTTTGGGAGGGGGGGGTAGTGTTTTGTTTTAGTCATAAATCCAACCTTTTTAAACTGATTTTATGGCAAAGTGAACTTGAGCATGAGAATATATGATGATTAACCAATAATGTACACCCCATTGCACCCAGATCATTAAAACAACACTGTGACTTCATTGATAAAACTTGCACAAGTTGACAGCGAAGCAAATTAGGAGTTCAGTCATCCATCGTCTAATAAAGGCCGTCAGGATGAAGCAAGGACACTGCTTTGTATACAGCTGCACGCAAATGCCACAGCTGTTTAGTTGAAAGTTGGTAGCATTAACTAATCAGTGTCTGTGATCTCTCTCTCTCTCTCTCACTCTCTCTCACACACACACACACACACACACACACAGAGCAAATGGTTTAACATCAAAGCAAAGCATGCCCTCAAAGATGCCTTGCACACAGGACCAAAATATTTGACTGCAACATGGTCTGAGCCATCTCAGGGAAATACCCCACAAGGGTATAACCACCAGAGGCAGGAGAAAGCCCTGCGATCACAGTCTGGAGCATAAAATTGACCTGAAACATGCTTTTGCACTTGTTGATTTTCCAGCCGCATGACAAACCTGCGCCCTGTCAGACAGCGAGTCTGCTCCTACATGCGGGGATCATCTTTTTCTTTCTGGAGGAATGTATTATCCGCCTGAGAAACAGACGACTGACAGACGAGAAAACACGCTGCAACAGCTGTGAGTCAAATACCAGCAGGGCACGCAGGAAAGCCAAATGACACTGGGCTCTCACACACTTTCATGCCGGACACACGGCGTCTCTCCATAGCGAACAGCTAGCTAACCGTAGCAGCTGGGGTAGGACATTGTATCCCTTCAACGCGAGGAAAACACACACCTAGTCCCGGCCCAGGAGAGAGCGCCCACACCGCTCAGCTAAAGTTAGCAGGCTACTACAACTGGCTAGCTAGCTGTCAAAGTTGCCCTGTCAGTTGTCACCGGTTGCACGGCGGCGCTAGCAGGCTAACGCGAGAGCTGTCAACTTGCGGGGAGTTACTGCAACGCGCCCGGGGTGTACTCAACACTGACCGGGGGGACAACACCGACGGGCTCCCCCGGGTGGGAGGAAAAAGGGGGGGAAGAGAAAAAAAAATGTGTCCCCGCACGCCCCGCCACACGGTGTGTCAGGGCCTGTTCACCGGGCTCAGTGCCCCACACAACTTCAGCGCGGCTCACTTCCCCGTTAAAGTCGTCCATTTCGTGGGCCTCAGTTCAACTTCCATGCCCGTGTAGCTCACTTACTCTGGGTGAAAGCTGCCGTGACGCTGGCTCCCTGTAATCCTCACGGTAGTTTCAGAGTAGCTGCCCCCCTCTTTCCCCCTTTTTCTTCCGCCTCCTCGTCTTCGGCTAAGCGGGAGATCCCCACGGGTGTCCTGCGCTTCTTGACGCTACGGTCCTGTGCAGAGGAGTCGCTGCAGCTCGGCCGGTGTGCCCGCGGTGCCGTGGCGTCCCTGCTCGGCTTCTCTCCGCCTTCTCTCGTTCGCCTTTCTCTCGGCGGCGGTGCCAACATCCGGGACCGTGCCCCCCTCTCCCCCCACACTCCTCCTCCTCCTCCTCCTCCCCGGTTTCATTAAAAGTGCCCGGAACTACTTTCCCATACGACGCCGCACAGGAAGGTTTTGTTTTTTTTTTCCCTCCGTCAACCTCACCGCCCCTGCCGCCACAGAAACTAGCGCGCGGTTAAACGCACAATCCCGCAGTGACGAGAACAGCGGCTCCGTCCGCACATGAGCTCATGCGTGTCTCCATCGAGACATTATATTGACTTTAGAAGCCGTGCGGGAGAAAGTCTGTCAATGTGTTTTCTAACGTGACACATGGCCTAATAAATACAGAAGTGAGGAGACCTTCACAGAACACAAGGAGGATTGTCCACGTGGGGATAACTCACCTTTCACCAAGTGTTGGCTGTGGTTGAAGTATTTAGATAGATTGAAAAGTACTAATACTACACTATAGAAGTACTCTGCTCGGTGAAAGTCCTCTATTTCAGATTATGATTAATGTACTTTTTTAAGGTACTCGATGCAAATAAAATCAGGAGACAGTTTTATATACAGCAGTATTCTAGATGTTATTTATACTATAATATTCAATTGTGTTATTATTTGTTAGGTTATTAGTTGTTGGAAGTAAATTTTCCCCTTCCTTTTTATTTATTGAAACATTTTGTTCATGAAAGTGAATATGTACAAAAATAGTTATAAGTAATAGCAAGAAGTAATATTTAAAATCAGGGGTGAGGGATACTTATAATTAGATTGGTGAAAGACTGACTGATGCTGATCACAGCTGCCCAGAGCCCTAGCACACCTTCAGAATTTTTGGTTTTGTGCAAACAACTGTTCAAATCTAAAAATTATGAAATATCATTTTAAATGATTTTAAAAAGGAAGTGGGCCCCTGGGCAGGTTTTACCCCTCTGGCTGTCTAAATAATAATAATAATAATTACATCAACGATAACAATAAGTGCAGAAGCATGTCTGGTTTAATTATGCTTTAAATAATTGCTGTTTAAAAAATCCTTTACTTCATTCCTTCAGTCTTGTTTCTTGGCCTAAACGCCTCGTTTAACTATGGCAAGTTTAAAAAAAGGATCATCTTTTAAAATTCCACCATGTCTCGCTCTCCTCTCTACAATGCAAACTGCACTTCAGCTAATAAATTTAGTGGAATTCTCAGAAAAAGGGGGTTATGGCCTCAGAGTCCTACAACCCTGGCATTCAGTAGTTAGTGAAATATGTTTCATTTTTAGTGTGATATATGATATAGGAATAAAAATACTACAATAACTATAATAGATGGTTTATCTGATTGTTTTATGAGTTCTTATGCCAAACTGTTGAAACCTGTTATTTTTGAGGTCTTAAAATGACTTTATGGTTTAGGTCCTTTCTCCCAGAGTGGGTCTCAGTGGGCCTGGAGTAAAAATGTTCCATATAAAAAGCCCACACATCTCTTATATAATTCATAGTGATGCATTTGGCATCATGGATCTCTCACTTTTGCATTTCATGAACCTTTTCCACCACTTGCAAACACCCTGGCTGATTATTGAACTGACAGTCAAGACCCTACTTGTACCGGCCCATTAAAACCTGGACCAAGCCTCAGTTTATAAATTGTAGTGGTGCTGTCTCGGTAGAAAAGTGGTGATTCCATTTTTGTTAAAGTGCAAATCCACAAAATATGTGGAAACTGATACTGCAACCCCACCATGTATCACAGCTTGTGTTGTGATCATCTATTCAGCAGTGCAACAGCGCCTCCTGTGGGTTAATCATAAGTACTGCTGCTAATACACAAATGATCGATCATTTAAATTAATTAATTAAACTAATTAAATTAAATTTACAGTGATAATGACTGACCCCAGCCTTTTGTTCACAGAGCCGCTTTAGACTGAAACACACAAGCACACGCACGCACACACACACACACACACACACACTGAAAACCCAAAAGGGTTAAACGCCAGAAAGGCCTTAAAACCACATCCTTTACCTCACACCTCCATAACAAGGTATCAGACCGAAAGTAGCAAATGTTTCTTTAAAAAAAGAAATTAAATCCAGCAAAACAATGCTTATGCATCCCATTCAATTATAAAAACATTTAATCAATCCCTGCAGAAAGAGAAAGAGAAGTTAGAATAGGCTAATAAAAGTAATGAAAAGCAAGTTCCCCCTTCACAATTTGTATTCATTTAAAATCATCAAAAACTGAACATTGAAACCTGAGCCTATGAGAAAAACTGAGTGTGGAGTTTCCCAAATTTTAAAACTATTAAAAAAAGCAGTCAGGATTCAGCATGAAACTTTTCACGTCATCTCTGAGTCAGTGCGACAGTCCAGTCCAAACTCCCCTGTTCTCCTTTTGTGACGATGCTCATGATTCATAGAGTCTGACACCTCATATGAAAATATGTTGATTCAAACTTGACTATCAAAAACTATGGGATGGAATGTGGTCTATGGTTCAGCCAGAAGAAGAAGAAGACACTGGCTCTCATGTATTGATAGTGTAACACATATAATGAACAAAGAAGGGAATTCATATCAGGATAAAAAGACGAAAATTATTACATAAAAATATTTGTTAGATTTTATTTGATAGGAATATATATCATCTTCTAATAAACTACTTAAGAGAAACAGGACTAAAGAAAATAATTAGATTTGAGTTTTGTTTTGTTTGCTGCCAATCTACTGCTGCACACTCCAGTCCAAGAGGTGGCGGTAATGCACCTATAATCTGTTTACCAACCGCTAATAAACATCAGAAGAAGAAGCAGGATCAGCTGTAGAAGAAGAAGGCGCTGATTCCAGGAAGTGCAGAAGTTGCTGTGAAGCTGCAGGAGAAGAAACTCAGGAAACAAAGTAAGATATATATTTGTATTCGTTTCTCTTTAAGCGTCATGAGAAAACAAGTGTCACGTTTTATTTTGTTCACTTTATTGTCGCCGTGGCTCATTTTTGTTTCCAGCAGCTTTGGACGTTACATGATGTGGTCGCACAGTGTGTTTGTGTTTCTCTCATCTGTAACTTATCTGTAACTTTCTGTCACGTGACGGTTCCAAAGTAAATGTTCCAACACTCACTTGATGCTTCATAAACATTTGACAGAAAGGACATCGACTCGTCTTTGTATTAGTAAGATACAGTTGAAACAAACACACTGTGGTTGTCATGTGTTTGAAAACCCTGAATGTTTTCTTTGTGTGCAATTATGATTCAGCATTTTTATGATTCATTTATTTTAGGTTGTTTATCTGTTCTTGAATTGTGTTGTGTTGTAATAAAGTTTCTCCTTAAAACTCTCTCTCACCACTATAGATAATAGTGTGAGCTCTTGTCCACATTGACTCCAGATCTACATTAAATAGTTTAATGAAAACCAAAATTGAAATTCCTTTGTTGTATGTTTAAAGATATTTAAAAATGTTGATCTTCTGTGAGTAATTTTTTTTGTCACATTGCTAAAAGGTTCAATTTCCAGGTTAGAAATTCTTAAAAGAGCAGCCATGTATATTCAGTATTTTAATATTCATTTCATCTTTGTTACACAAGATGTCTTCTTCATCACTGACTGAATGTTCTCAATGCATGTTTAATGTACTCCTCGTGTTTAGACATTGCACCTGTGTAAGTTACACACTGATCCATTATTGACACAAAACCAGTTGTGACATTATAAACCACGCGCTCCGGTGCTCGTCTTAATCTCTGATGTAAGATGAGCGCAGAGAAACTTTCTCCAGAGAAGATGAATTTGAAAACAGTCTTTAAGTGTCAAACTCAACATATCTGTATCAAACATCCAGCTGAGAAAACAACGACCAGATAGATTTCTTGGCATCACTGTTTTTGAAATACCTCATATGCTGCATGTACCTTTGGTATACTATGCTACCAGTCTTGACATCAGCTGACATTATATTAGTCACTTGAGTTGCTTGTGCTGCAGATTCAGGATTATTCAAAATTTTAATCCCCTGTGTTTCAAGGTTCAAACACTTTCCCACTTCTCATAATGCAACTTGAAACCAACCTTCATTAAAACCACCTTAAATGTTTATTTTGCACTTAGTATTCAATGCCACTTTTCTCTTGGCTGCATCTGTGTCATATTTGTATTGTATGTCCCATATATATTTCCATCAGAGGCTATAAACACGGACTGCCTCCAGACATACAAGAGACATAATACGTGGGGTTCACTTCACAGGGTTCACTTGACAGGCAGACTAACCTGATTAATTTAAGTGTAACTACTATGCTGCATCAGTCTTCTCTTCTGATGATGCCAGCTCTCGCTCTCTCTCTCATCAGGTCATGACTGAACCCAGGATATCGTCCATTGATGGGAAGTTAGCTGAAGAATTTGCTGTTCCCTCCCATGTTGAGGAGGTCAAAGCAAAGATGTCTGCCTTTGCCACCCAACATGCAGCAGCAGGTCGCCGGGTTGTTCTCATCACGTCTGGGGGCACGAAAGTTCCCCTCGAGTCGCGCACTGTTCGCTTCCTCGATAACTTCAGCAGTGGCAGACGAGGAGCCTGCTCAGCAGAGTACTTCATGGACTCCGGCTACGCTGTCGTCTTCCTACACAGGCATCGTTCCCTCTACCCTTACACTCGAATGTTCTCGACCATGAACGTGCTGGATGCCCTGCAGTTCACAAGTGGGGATGAAGCATCTGGATCCTCCGGTGAAGTGATGGTTAACCCGCAGGTGCTTCCGAACATAGCCAAAGTGCTGAAGAAATACCAGGAAGTGAAAGATGGCGGACTTCTCCTGCCCATAGAGTTCAGCACTCTGTCAGAGTACCTGCATCTTCTCAAAGCAGCAGCCCAGGCACTCAGCACTATAGGTACAGATTGATAACAATTCAAAGGTTGAAGTCTTACGTAATAAATTATTCATAATTTGTTCTCCAATGTTTTTTCTGCACTTAGGATCGAAGGCCATGTTTTATTTGGCTGCAGCTGTGTCTGATTTCTATATTCCACCATCTGAGATGCCTGAACACAAAATCCAGTCTTCCAATGGTCCTCTTCAAGTGAGTAGGAATGCTGCTGTACATGCAAGATTTCGTAAATTTAGACCATGGTGGTGGAATGGTTCTAGGCATGGCAGTGTTGAAAGCCATCCCTCTAGTAGTTTTTGTTATGTTACTTAAAAACAAAGGGCAGGGATGAAAACATAGTCTCCTTGGTGGAGGTAATGACACTCCCATCAGCCTCAGCTTTAGTAAATGTTTGCATACTAACATGATAAAGATACCAGCTGAGCGTGTTAGCACTTGGCTCATCACAATGCTTTGTCTAAGAACAACCTCACAGAGCGGCAAGTATGGCTGTAGACTCGGTCCTGTTATTAATGAGATCTTTTTCTCTCCTTCAGCTTAGCTTGAACATGGTCCCTAAGATACTGTCCCCACTGGTGAAGGACTGGGCACCTCAGGCATTCGTCATATCTTTTAAGCTGGAGACCGACGCAACCATCCTGTTGGACAAGGCTCGCGGAGCTCTGAACAACTACAGGCACCAGGCAGTGGTGGCCAATGTACTGGACTCGAGACGGGGTTACGTTGTGGTGGTGACCCCCAAGACTCAGGATGAGCTGATCCTCACAGAGGAAGACGTGAAGAATGAGGTGGAGATAGAAGAGAGGATAGTGAGCAACCTGACATCAGCACATAACAGGTTCATAGATCAACAAGTGAGCTGACAGTCATCACCTGCAAGTCTGAGTCAGTGACGCAGCTTTGAGTTGTGTCTATTCTCTTCCCTGATCCTGAGCTTAAATCCATTCTTCCCTGATCTGCTGATAGTTGCTGTACATGTTTGTCATGTGGTTGTGTAACCTCGATGATAAGTATATCTACAAACACAGACACACTGTCCTTTTTACCTTTGGCAGAATTAGCTTCTATGGTTCTAACACTGTCTCTGTACTAAGGCAATATACAACTTATTGAGTTTATAAACTGTTTATTGACACTGTGCACATTTTGCTATACTTTCTATAACAGTGACAGAATGTTTGAATAATTCACAGTTATTCTGTACTGCAAGAGTCACCTGTAAAACTGTAAAACACATTTACAAGAACAATCCACTGACGTTTCTTTCAATCCCATGGCTACGCCTTGCAGCACATGATCGATTCCCTCTTGGTTACTTAAGTTTGATGCTCTTCTTGACACCAGCACGAATACCAGACATCTCTCCACTGTACCTCGTCTCCTCCCGACGAACCTCACGGACCTGGCAAATATAACATATATAAATGTAACAGTCTCAGTGTTGTTCTTGGGAGTGTGTTTTGACGGATCACATATATTCTTGATTTATACTGATGAGCCTGGAGCCAGGAGACTTTATGATGTACAGTGTAATAAAAAATGGTTTCATCAATGCGCAGAATACGAACCTGTCCCTTTCTGCGGATTTTAGCCCGTCTGAACTTCTCTCTGTGCTTGACTCGGGGATTACGGTCAATCTTCTTCCTCTTTGGTGTGAGCCCCTTGTTCTTGGCCATCTGTGGAGTTGGTAGAGACGCACAATAAGAATAAATGTTTGTGACAAAGCCCGATATGGAGTACATTAAGTGAATACAGTGTGAGCACCAGACATTGATATCTACTGAAAAAGTTATTGTTTTGAGGGTTTATCTAAAATCTCCCTTTAATCTTGTAAGCCAAAGGGTAGATGAGTGAGTACTGAACATTCAAAGACACATGGGCAGCAGTGAAGATAATGTATTTAATTATCTGCCTCTGATACACTTAGAGCTTTCAAGTGTATGCAAGACATTAGCTGCTGCTTTCTTGAAGTTCATACTCAACTGTATATCCACCGTTATCTAAATTCTAGTACCACACAGAGACCCTCCAGCAGGGGACAGCCTAAAGTCACCAAAAACCAAAGTGAATGTTTAAACTCTGAAATACAGAGGAAAGGATCATCTACATAAAGAGAAACCCAAAGCTGCTGTACGACCGTGTAAGATCAATTCAGTGTTTTTAGTCCAGCAATAACATATTCATCAGTAGTGTTTGATGAATATTATCATTTCTTTAGGTAACTGGCTGAGAAATGTCATAGTGTGATACTGATCCTGAGCGTGTGAGTGGGTGGAGCTCAGTACCTGGTAAGTGATTCCTCTCTTAGCATCTGGATCCAGCGCTTCCTTCTCCTCATTATCTTCCACCAACCTGCAACGAATTGACCATTTATCAAACCTTTCCCATTTGATTTGGTTTTAGTAGCCATTTGCAACTCAAAGTCCTACTTACTCTTCAGCTTCTGGGTTTTTGCTCTTTCTTTTCAATTTCAACCGCTCCTCCACCTCTCTGTAGAAACGCAAAGCTGCTTCATCGTCCAGGTCGGAGTCAGAGTCCACTTTGACGTCAAGCATAGTTTCTCTGGAACCCTGCAGCCAATGAGTACTCGTGATAATTACTATTTTATATTAAACATCAACAACAGAATCAAACTGAGACTGGGAAACTTGCTATAAAGAACCTCACCTTGTCCTTCTTACTGGAGACTCTGGGCCTCTTGCCCTCTGCTGGCTCTTTGTCCTCACCAGCTAGAAGCTTACGAAACTGTGGTGCAAGTCGAGCATCCACTGCTCCCAGCTCATTGATGAGCTGCAGGGGAGATGTTGAAGAGTCAGACAGACAAAGGGTTCCATCCATGTGGATATGTAATAGATATTTCATGCTGTGTCCCATGATGCTGGTGGTGTCAGTGTCCCCGACCGCTTCACGTTCAGGGTGGACAATCATTTGATTAAACTGCGTCAATGAGGGGACTTACATTCCTGTAGGTGAGCAGTCTCTCAATCACAGGGTGGTTATGAGCAGGGATTCGTTTTGCTTTCAGCACCAAATAGAAACTGATGTTTGTGCAGTAACTGGTAGGAAACAAAGAACAGTGATTCGGTGGAAGGACAATGGCCTGACATTACAGTTATAAGGTACAATTCAAGTACAACTTACTTGAGATACAGTTGCTGTTTTGTCTTGAGGTAGTTAGCACCCTGCAGAAAACACGACCAAAGTTATTTCGAGTCATAATTATTGCCTCCACCATGACAGTTATGTTTTTCCTTGATTTCTCAGAGAATTATTCATGGACATCAGAAAATCAGATGTTGATGAGTGTATTTAAATCTTGATCTAGTGAATTTTCAAAAGGGGACAATTGGGCCTGAGTGGAGATATGTTCTCTATTAAGTTACATTTTTGACAATTTAATTGATAAAAAAAATGGTAAAGCCAAAACTTTCTTGGTATTCCCCAAAGTATCCGCACTACGAGCCTTTAACACGGTGCCAAACACCAGAGAAAAAAAAAAAACAATGGCGAAGGGTTATTCAAAACTCAAAGTCTGGTGAAAAAAAGCTAAATGCTCTCACTTTTCCTGGTGGGATCTTTCTGTCCTTGACCATCTGCATGAGAGGCTGCAGCTCATCTGTTAGTTCAGTGAGCTGCACACAAAGCACAGACAGAAATGTTGGTCAATACATCTTTACATCTGATGTTTCACACGCAAGTTTTAGGTGCTTATACCTTTGCCTTGAAGTCCTGAATAAGTTCAAGCAGCTCTGGCGAGTCTTTTTTCAGAAGTTTAAATTTTTCCTTCTTAGACATCTGCTGCAGGTCCTTCACTATCTTCTCCTCTTTTTCAACCGCTTTCTTTTCATCCTTGTCCTCTTCAGCAAATTCCTAAATGCATAAAACAACAAAAGGTCAACAAAACACCATCACAACCATGCAGATGTAAAGGGTAGATATACAATAAAAATACCTGAAATAGGTTTAAATCATAATCCTCCTCGCTCAGATTTGCAGCCAATCGGTTTTGGATATTTTTAGCCTCTTCTTCTTCCTCTTGTTCATCAGCTTCCAAAACTTCATGTGATTTCCCTTCTGTAATAAGTCAATGTAAATGTTGCATGAGCAAACATGATCCATACAGATGATACAAATATCACAAAATGCCTAAATAATACAGCCGGAGATTAAAGATGCTCACTTGTGATCGTATAATCTGAGTCGTAGAACATCTTCTTCTTTTTGCCCCATGCCATTTCATTTGGAAGGTCTGAAAAAAAACATAATTATTGTTAAACAGGCTTGTACCACCAAATAAATCAAACTCTGGACATATAAACAGAGAACTTTGTGTTTACCATCATCTTTTCTCGCCTCGAGATCACTGTCCATGTCTGTCCCCTCTTCCTCTTCTTCTTCCTCCTCCTCCTCCTCCTCATCCTCCGACTCAGAATCATCCAGGGCCATCACCTCCTCCTGTAAAATTCAGATGAGCTTTAATTTGCTCCCTGGACTAAGTCAACTCTCTGAGGGTGAATCCAAACAAGAGCTAAATTGAAAAAGTGCATCACCTCGTCTTCTATTTCCTCCGAATCACTCCCCATCTGAACACCACGGGCGAGAAGGTTCTACGGCAAACAGAGCAAAATATACGTCAAGTAAAAACGGCACCATACACAGTGGTTAAGCAGATAATTTCTTATGAGTTAAACTTACTGCGATCTTCTCATCGTGAAACTCATCGATTCTGTCCTTTGTGTACTGAGACGATTTCTGAGAGTAAGAGAGAAGACAAGTTCAAAGTTTGACTGATGAAAATAACCACAGCATCAAAGCAGAGTTAATGTGGGGACAGTATGTTGATAGTTTATATTCTATAATGTATAATATCACAATGTGACATCAGATACTGTCAGACATTGCGGAACAGAAACATTAAGGTTAAGTGTCACTACTGTTTTGTTGCAAGATTATACCACCACTCACATTTTATTTGAATACTACAAAGAAGAAATGCAGATGCAACCTGCAAAGACCTTTAACCTGCAGATACTCTGCGGAGTCTTCCTCACCTTATCGGGGACAGGCATGTTCCTGTAGGCTTCAGGATGATCTTCATCGTATCGCTCAGTCTTTTTGATTCTCGGCTGCTTTATAACCCTGAAGGACCAGAGACACATGAGTTTAAAAAGTAAGAGTATGCATCATCATCATCACACTGGAGTCTAACACCTCCCACTTCTGCTCTGGTGGATGCAGGTTAGCACAGATCCAGGACCCTTCACACTGAAAACCACCGGATCAAGACTATGAAGTTATTTAGACCTCAAATATCAAGTTTCCCCCAAAAACTCCTACAACTCTTAGATCTACCCTCACAACTTACAAACAGATTAAACTATACTAACGTGAGGAAGCTAACTTTAGCCAAACTCACCTTTTAGCTCGAACCATTATAGAAATCACACGTGTTTGCCGCACGTGGATAAACTAAGACAGGACGTGAAAACAACAAAAAGTTCAAATCTGGAGATCAGAGTAAAATAAAAAGCGTAGATATCCAGCTACGTTCAGATAAATATGTTTCCTACTGTTCACCATGTGCTTCCGTGATTTCTTCTTCTACTCCGTCAATCTGAGTCTACAAAGGAATGTGAAAGATGCACAGCGCCACCTCAGGCAGGGGAGTGTAAGCACACGTTAGAGGTTATTTTAATGTGTGGTTTACAGCAAATACAAAACAATTCAAAATTCTCAGTTACAATAAGTTCAGAGTCGCGTACAATGTGATGCAATGTGCTCACAGTGGCATTCAAACTGACCGGATCCAAACCACAGACTGTTTGTGAAGACAGCCGACATTTTGACTTCTTTTCTGAATGGTGGGAGGACGTGGAGACACGTCATCCATATTTTATTCAGTCTATGAACCAAACAAAAAGTACTGAGGATGTTGAGGAAATTGTGACCCTGCAAGATGAAAAGTCAGGGATCATCAAAACCCTGTGTGTGTGTGTGTGTGTGTGTGTGTGTGTGTGTGTGTGTGTGTGTGTGTGTGTGTGTGTTGCACATTGCAATTCTAATTCATACATGAGTAGACAAGAGTTGTGTTGACCTCATGGGGGCACATGAAGAAAAGACAGATGCACCATCCCGTAGATGTTTCATAAAACAAGTGATAACTCTAACCTCCTGGTGGCGCCATAGGAAAGGTCAGAGGATCATTAGATTCATCATGCAGTGAACCCTGTCCCCCATTGAGCCGCTAAATAAATCTCTTCTTCAGACTGTCATTATTTCCCTCTCTTCCGAAACCAATATTTGAATACTCTAATCTCCACAACCCCAGCCTGACATTTGTCTCTCAGGACTTAAACTTAAAATGTTGAAGTTGTAGCAGCCGCAGGTAGCTCTACACACAATCTTTTATTACGCCTGTGCTGCTGATGAAACACTTGTGGGTGTTCGTTCTTTTCTCTTCAACAGTTTTCTCACATTGTTGTCAGAAATATTTCTCATCACTTCAAATTCTGGAACCTTCCATGTCTTCCTTTGGATATATTTGGCCTGAAGTGAGACAGTGAGTCTAAAAAGCATCTGACTTAAAATAAAACAACAAAGTTTTCAATGACAAACCATATAAGTGATGACGCTTGAGTCTGGAGTTTTAGCTTCAGTCCTGTTGTTTTATTTTTTCAGTGAAGCTTCAGTTGGCATCTTATCAGCACTTGTACATGAATCTGACTTTTATTGTCTTTTTATCATGTTGTATAATGTTGCAGTAGGTCCAGTAGGTCCCAACCTTAATACTGAAAAATAAAATAACCACCAACTTTAGCAGAAGGTTTAATAAAATCCTACCTATTGAAATTTCCAATCAAAAAGTGTAACTTCTTCTCGTTTGCAAATCTTACTGATTAAAGCAGCTATTCGTTGTGAGCAGCTCGAACAAAACTATGTTATTTATTTAAACATGAAGTAAACTACAAACAGTGAAGCTTCTCATAATCAGATTCAGTGGGATGTCACATCAGAATTTAAAACAGTAACACATCCTGCATAGTAACAGTATGGCTTATTTGGGGTAATTTACACTGCATGGTCAGAACCATCCTGGTTGCCACCTGTCGTCAGTGACAGATGTTGTTGCTTTTGTATTTTTGTTCTCATTCTTGTTCCCCTAATTCCCTCTCTGCCAGCGACCTCCTCCAGTCCATATTCAGACCATAAGCAGAGCTGCGGGGCCGCTCTCTGGGCAGGAAGTCTGTTGAGGTTCTGTACAACGAAGATTTCAAGTCATCGTTCCTCTTCTTCATCAGAGTGAAAGCAGGCGTCATGAAACTCGAGTCAAAGCACTACCCAGGAAACAGAAGCCAAAATATGTTAGTAATTTCACATTGCATCACTTTGAGTTTTAGGCACTTTGAGTGTTCATGACCTAAAACAATGAATTACTTTGTGCAAGTTGAAATCAATCTTTAGAACAGTAACAGTGAAATGAGAAAAACCTGTTCACTTATTTTATCTTTATCAAAGTATTCAAATTTTAAAAAGAATAATTCCCTCTTTGGTTGAACTGTACACAACTCAGGTCATAAAGGCCTCAACCTGTATCTTCCTGAAATAGAAATCTATATATCACACATTTTCTAAAAGCAAATGCATTTACATGAATATAATGATGATCAGATTAAATTTCAACCATAGCGAACACAAGTCTGCACACTTACACTGGCCTTAAACCTTGGCACTGGGACTCCTCTCCAGTCTTGATGTGTGTCTTTTTTGTGTACACTCAGGTCCATCATGGATTGGCTCAAGTCCGATGCTGCAGTGTTGGATTCTTTCTTGAGCAGCCTTGAAGAGCTTTGCTGAGGCTGAATCCTCTTCATTATGTCGCTCAGAGAGCTGAAGCTCTCAGACTGTGGCACCCTCAGGATTATGGGTTTCTTTGAGGAGAGAAATGCTGCTCAGTTTCCACAGTGGCATTTCACATCAGAGTTAAAACAAATATTTTGACTGCAAAGGCTGGCGACTTACTCTAGAAGATGGTGTGTTCTCCACTTTGGAGCCAGTTTCATCCATGCGGCTCTCCTCCTCCACACAGAGACCCCTCCTCGATGTCTCTATTCTCTTATTAGATGAAAGTATGACCATGTTGTGCATCGGTTCTGTTGTTTTATCATCAACTCTCGTCATTATTCGGTCACCTAAATTGGTTCTCTTCTCTTTGGAGAGTTGCCTGGAAATAGTTTTTTCTACTATGCGTTCCACCCTTTAGATGAAAACAACATATTTTCATTAAATGTGACATTTCCACAATAATTCGATGTGTTTACTTTATCTTTTGCTTGTTACCTCTTCATTCTCTCTGGGGTTAGGTCTGCTGTTGATGGCTTTATACTGCTATGAAAATAATCAAGATCAAATGGAAAATTATATGAAACATCATCAGAAAAAGAATGTCACTACTGTTCATCCATGTATTTAGGCGGAAACAAGACTCACTTGAATATTGTTGATTTATCTGGAACATGGTTTATCACTGGAGAGTTATGAGCGTTTACCCTGTCGAATACAATAAGGTCAGTAAGGTCCTGCAAACAATGTGTCGATCATACTGATAAAAAACAGGAATTATATTGAAATCAATTTTCAGTAAGTAGTTTTAAAAAACAAAGGACTCACTCATATGTCTTAAAGTGGTTAATTTAAAAGGGTTTGTTTACCTTTTTTTATCCACAAAATGGTTTCCACTGCTGGTGAAATCATCCATAATGGTTGCATTTTTACTCAACAGCATGTTATTCTTCTGTGATATTTCCTTGAACACGATTTCCTCATGTTGATCACTAGGACTCTCAGGAAAATTACCCTCTCTCTGGACAACGCCCATGGCTTCCCAGTCCAGGAGAGAATCAGTAGGTGGAGATGGAGGGTTGAGGATCTCAGGGTCAAATGAGAGCTGTTTTCGGAAGCGGAGATCTGAAAACTCTCTTAGCTTTTGAGTCACAGTTACGTGGGATTCTGCGACTCTCGGTGTGTCTGCGACTGGAAGCGAAGCAGCAAAAAGGATCCTGAACTCCTGGTCAAATGAGTCCACGACTGGGCCGCGGAGGACGGTGATCAGCTGCCGGTGCAGGTGAGCGTCGGTCCATGTGAGGCTGCAGAGAACAAAGGAGTGTTTGTAACTTATTTTAAAGGAAATCAAAAATGAAATTGTGTTTGTTTACCTGTAGCTGCCATGAATTACTGTCTCCAAATCCACCAGAAGGAAATTATCTTTCATCTCACCAACCACCGTCTTTCCTGTCCTGGAACAGAAGGCTTTCCCTCCAAGAACACGGACTCGGATGTTCTGACAAATCACAAGCTCAAGATGAAACTGAAGACTGAATTACATTGGAACTTGGAGTTTTTCAAGTCCATGATGTGTAATATCATGTTTTATACATAAGATTTATAATTAGACAGAATGTGGTTTGAGCTCAATGCTAATGGAAGCATGCTAAGATGCCCCAAGTGAAATTGCCAACATGCTGACTGTTTTTTTTTACCATGTCTCTCATGATCTTAGCTTGGTGAGTTAGCAGCATGATATTTAATTCTTGCATCACACAAGCTCCGATCAGAAAAACACATTTACATCCCTTCAACATGCATCAGATCTCAGGGACTTTAATGCCATATTTCATTTGTGGATTTATTAATGCACGAAAATGAGTGCTCACATCATGTGACATCAACATATTCATAAACACAGTACATATATATGTATACATACATGTATACAACCAATCCTCCTCATAAATAACAGCATCAGATTTGATCTTGATAGAGTTTCTAGGTGGACCACATTTCTATCAGATTCTTATATGGAGCAGTTTTGATTTTAATATATAATATGATTTTAATATATTCAGTGTGATATTTTCAGAATAATATCTATTGTCAAACCCAAATATTTTAATGAAAAAACCCCAAACTTCTTCGTTGTTTCAGTTTAGATACTGATATGAACTTTAGTAAAAAATGTGATTGAATGCTGATGGCACCAGATTAAGAGTTTGAGAGTCATTCCAGTTTATTCTCAGGGCTCCATGAACATCGCGGCTAAATAGTTGAGATTCTTCAGTCAAACATTGCTTTTGATTAGCACTGCCATGACGTACCAGTATAATTAAGAAATTTAAAAAGTCTGCAAGCTCAACTATAGACACTGATGAAGACTTATAACTTTTCACTCATGTTAAATAATTTAACGGATAGTATTTATGAAGATGGGATTGTTTTCATATTGTTCTTAACATCAGGCAGAGTTTTGACACCTTAATGGAACCACTGAATGCTGTGCAACCAGTTCAACCATCTGCTCTTAAAAGAACACGGCACATTCCTAACATGAGCATGCCAGAGCAGAAAGACACACTTTAGTTTATTGGACAGCTCTCGAGTGCGTATGCTGTGTTTCAGGTTTTAAATGATACTGATCTATGCTCACTTTCAGTCATGATAGACAGAATCCCTATAATATAGAGTTTTGATATTGGAGACTGGTGCTGCTTGATTTCAGCCAAATAAAATCTCTAGTTCATTTATTGCTGTGTAAACATACACACAACGATGGCTGCTAGATGTGTGTGTTTGGAGGGGGGGGGGTGACTCACCGGATGCTGCAGCCTGTTGAGCATGAAATCCTCCTGAATGGATCTCTGATTCAGGATGATGTAGACAGGGACGCCCCGGGAGGCAGCGTTGTGTAAATCACCAATTATTGCACCATCTGTTAATCTGTCTGTCACAATAGCAATTACCTGCAGAGCACATGTTCCAGAGCAAATGTTACTTAGTCTGTAATTGGCTGGATTACTGAAAATGGTACTTACAAAAACTGAAAACCTGCTTTTTCTTATTGTTGACAGGTGAAAATCACAGATGCAGAAGTAGAAAAAGGGATCAAATACTACCTGAGTTAAATCTAACAGTGAAATTGTAATTAGAATTTATTGTAACATTTCATAGTTGTAGGATGCTTCAGGTATAACATTAAAACTGAAGCTGTGCATCTTAATCTATTAGTTAATCTATTAACTTATTGAGTCTTATAGTGAAGCCCAAAGTAAATTTTTCTTTTCAAAGTACAACATCTCAGAATATTTCAATACTCAGGCATTAAAGTATCTATATCCCTCAGATTCACTTATCACTTCACCTCTACCCTAAAACATTTGGGACATTCGTTCACACAATGAAATCTATATTTGCATACTTGGGTGGCCCTTTGCAAGTGCTGTCGGATTATCTCTCTGACGGGGGGTTCTCCGTCAGCAGGTGGGCTGGTGTGGACTGTGATGCTCCCCATCATCAGCCAGGGCCCCCTCTCGGGCCAGCCCAGGTCAAGGTCTGGAGCCGGTGTGTCGGAGGTGCAAGGGAAGTAGGTAGAGCAGAAGTCCTCCATCTGTGAGCTGCCTTCCCCTCCATCCTCCTCCAAGCGCACCTGCTGCTGGTTGAAGCGATAGTCCTGAGCCCAGCTGCTTATCTGTCTGACCTCCTCAGGCGACAGGAAACAGCCGGAGCGCTCTGTGCCGATGGAGCTGTAGAAGGCCTCTGGTCCGGCGCTCAGGAGCCTCTCCACCGCCTGACGCTCCCTCTCACTGTAGAGGAACTCTGGAGAAGACTCTGTGACCTCCAGGAACACTACGTTCTCATCAAGGCTCTGCTCCCTAGAGTCTGACATAACTGCAGTCTGGTGTGTCTCTGGGGGAAAAGTTGCTCCTCTCAAAGTTCCCACTAGTGACTGCAGTTGTGTAATGATGAGACCATCCCAGGCCAGCTCATGTCATCCTCAAAATTATTTCCTCATTCATCTTTCTGACAAAAAAAAGATACTTTTTCCTGGTTGGTAAGATTTACCTATAGGACCCAGATGTCTGGATGTTTCTGTCTTATTGGAATCACGTTGCTCCTCACTGACAAATCCTGTTCAGGGTTCACAAGTTCAGTCCTGAGTAAATGTTGTGTTCTGCAGCAGCCGTTTCCCCTGCTCATGTTGAGTGAAGAGAAAATCAACAAGTTTTAACAAAATAAAAAATAAGTAAATGAACAGGTTGTGAAACTCACCTCTCGTCTCTCAGGCTCAACTACTTCTCATGAGCTCTGAGACGCTGCAGCTTTTCATGTGTCTCCTCCCCTGAATGTCGTCCTACTACTCTCAAAGCTTCCACTCCTTGTAACAAACATTGTTCTCAGATTCCTGAGAATCTGTGCAGCTGACAGATCAGGGTGCTGATCACACACACGATTACCATCCTGCTGCACCTCCCCTGACTTCCACAGCACTTTCAATAAATACAGTATCTGATTCTCTGTCTTCCTACAAACATATGAGGTTTGATATCGGAATAATAATTGGAATAACACTCTATTTTTTGGGACTCTTCCCTCCAGACTTGAGGTGTAAAAGTAAATTTATATTTTTGTGTGGAATACTTTTGTGAACCTTGCCCCCCCAACCAGTTTGTTACATAATTCTCCTCTTGCTCTCTGTTAAAGTAATCTATGGGCATGCTTTAAAAAAGTATACAAGAAATTCCACCAAACAATGAGATAGTGAGAAAGACGGCACACCCTTGTGCAACCACAGCATCGTGGCGGAGGATTGCACCTGCACTGTCACAAATACAGCACTTAACACAAAACAAAGCAGGACTTACACAGATTTAAGCACAATAATGCTCTGTGCTAAAGTGTTGACACAAATAATAAAGTGACAAGAACCAGTGTTTTTAATAGGTAAACACAGATATGTACAAAAGTAATTCAGGCTCCATATTTTCACAAAAGTTATTCATTCACGTTCTGAGGTTATGTTTTCATCTGTTTGTTGAATAGTTTGCAGGATTGTGCATAAAACTACAAAACTGAATTCCGTTAAAGGGATGGGACATGACCCAGGGAAGAACCTAAATAATATTTTGTGCAGATCTGGATCAGAGACTTTTAAATATTGCTATTTTTGGCATTTTTCAACATTTTCATTGATTTCTCAGAGAATAATTCATTGATATTTCTGTGAGTGAGTAAAACAATAAAATGAAATCAGGCTCTATTGAATTTAAATGTAGTTTCATAAGGAGAGTATCATTCTAGGTTCTAGATCTCTGTCAACATTTTATCTCACGACATGACTGAGGTTCAGTAAATTTCCTTGAGCTGTTCTTGAATGATATGCCCTCATGATGACATGATGTCTCGCATACCGCGCAGCGCGACAGGGTGGATCTTGAGTCAGAAAGAAAACAGAGGTATTTCCTTCTCAGTCATTTTATGTCCTTGCATGATTCTTAACTGGGTGGTGACTGAAGTGAGGGGACTCCTAACGAGTGTTCTTCCCTTCTCACTGCTTCTTGCGCAGGTGGACGTACAGGACCCCGCTGACCAGGAGCAGAGGGACGCACAGCCACGCCAGGATGAAGCAGTAGCCAAAGTGTCCTTTGCTCAGGTCTCTGGTGTCATTTAGGATCTCCTTTCTGCGGAAGGTGAAGATGAGGCAGGCGGCAAAGTCTGTGCAGCCTGCAAGAGCATGAAAATGCTTTAGTTCAAATGATCTCATATCACCGCGTTCATACTACAATACATACACTCTCTTCAATAGACAGACCTGTACAATGTATTATAATTCAGTACAACAGATCAAGCATTAAATTCTCCTTTAGTTAGCCACTGTGTGGCTCACTATTTGGATAACAAGGAGCTCTAAAGAGGAATAAGCCACATCAGGGTTTGACTACACAGACAACACTTGTTTGTACAATCACTTCATTGTTGGTTTTGATACTTCTTATTGGATACGTTGCCAACAAGATGACTCACAATGTTGAAATCCCAAAATACACATCACTTTCTCTGTGAGCATGCATGGAAAAATAATTCTCAAATGAATGAATAATGTAAACTACTGTGGCATTTTATTTTACACAATTTTATGTAGATGAAGGAATAAGACTTGAAAACACCTGCGAAGGCCTGACAGAAGCCTGTGAAGTAGAAGAGTCCTCCTTTAGACATGGTGAGGAGCTGGCACAGAAAAACCAGGAAGGAGATAGAGGAGAAGACCACAGAGAGAACCATGAGGGCCTGGACCGACTGCAGCCAGTCTGAGGGAACAGGTTCACAACAACACTGACACACTCAGTCATATGGACACAATTTACATCACCATCGTATAAACTGAAACCTGCTGGAACAAATGGACAGCTTGACAATTTACCGCTTTCGTCTGTAGCAGCGCACAGCCAGGTCTCTGTGGAGTTGTCATGGAAGCAGTTATACCAGAGGTCGGAGATTTCTGAGTCAGCCCATATCCACCAGGACTGCAGGGAGGAAGAGAGGAAGAAAGAAAGACATTTTTAAAATGCAGCAGATTTCAAAAAGACAGTAGCCCTCTGACTTCATGTACAAAAGTAATATTTTGTTCTGCAGCATTTCTGTTAAATTTCCTCTGGTTGAGGCTCAGGAGGTAGAGAAGGTCATCCAATAACCCAAAGATTGATGGTTTGATCCCCGGCAGTTTTATTCTGCTTTTCACAGAGTTCTTGGTTAAGATACTGAACCTCATATTGCTCCTGACGGCTGCACCGACACTGTCGATTTGTGCTGCTTAAAGCTCTTTAAGTAGAAAAGCACTATGTAAATACTGTCTATTTACCTTTGAGCCTTAAGATCATACCTGGATTAAGAGTGACATGTACTGACAAAATGGGGACAGTACAAGTTACCACACCAGTTAATATCTCACCTTCTCCAGGGTGGAGATGAGGAGCATGGCCAAGGTGGCCAGATGTAGCACAGTCAGGGATACTAGGAGGAAGACCATGGCTGCCGTTAGATGTGGGAAGACTCTGTTATCCTGTGTAGAGACGGTGCGATTATAGATAATAAAACGAGACAATTCCACCTGGAGTCAGGTGGATTCATATCAAATCAAACAGTCATGTCATTGCCTTGACTTCCTTGCATGTCATTTTAAACAGCCAGCAGTTTCCTCCTCCTGTTTCTGCCTCTCAGGGAAACTCTCACCTCTTTCATCATGCTCCTCACATCTACACTGACAATCTCTGCTCATTTATCGAGCCACAAGCCCGACTGTGTGGAGGATCTCCAGAGCCCGTCCAGTCTCTGGGGAATACATCCCATCATCGGTTCACTACCACCTCTGTAAACATGTAGTCGGAAATTTGATCTACATATGGTCTAACATGGGTCTTTTTCTTTAATTGACTTAAAATATAAATCATTTCACTTGAAGTTCAGTAACTAAGAAATACCTTGAGTTTTCTTAAACTTGTGGAAACATTTTTATAACTTAGTCTTTAAAGTATTAGTATTAGCATCCTAATTTCATTATTATGTTGTCCCCAGCCGTGTTTGCAGACCAGTATCACAACTTCCTTTGCAACTTATTTATTTAATCTCTCATTCTGTCATATTTCAAATGTTTATTTGGACCTCCACTGCACTTTTAGTATTTCCTTTTCTATTTTGTGTATTTTTTTACCTTGTATTTAAATGTATTTTGATATACCTGGCTTCTATGACAATTTAATTTCCCTCCGGGGATCAGTATATTAATCTAACTGTCTTTCTTTCTTTTAAAGAGTGTGAAATTATAGATTTTAGATTTTAAAAAATGATTTAGCCCTGATTAGAATAAATACATAACAATTTTACAAATAATAATATGCACTGCAGGCAAGGCAGATGCAATGCATTGGGCTAATTCAAAGCCTCCACCTAAATATCCTTAAACTCCCAAAATAATGGGATTACCTCCGAGAGTCAACAAATTCACATTAAGATGTAATGAAAACAAGAACACTAATGATGATATAAAAGTTGATGAGTCCTTGAGGCGTGGATAAGTGTTCAGATACATTAAATATCCTGTATTACTCATATAATCCTGTCTATGTTTTTCATCAGAACATTTTTTTAGCATTATCAGCACAAAGATGAGGAAGTCACATTATTTATAATACATTGGTCCTGTTTGACTTCCTCTTCATCGTGGATGAGATTGGTAAAGACAGAAGTTGCCTAACCAGTAAAAAGTACTTCAGGACTTTTTCTATTGTTTTGTTTAAAACTGATATTATCTGTAGCTAAATTAATTAAAAAGGGTTTTTTTTACAGATTAGTGTATTATTTGTGTATATTGCACATATTTTTCTGTGGCCTGAAATAAAACTCTTTAGATCTCCAACCCCTAAACTAAATAGACAACACATAAATACTGTAATACAGACATGGTGCACACTATAGTGTTTGAGTTGTCATGGCAGAAGCTGGTAGCGATTTTTACAGCTGGTCCTCAGAAGTGGTGAGACATTCAAGTGAAGAAAAGCCTCTAACTGTGAACAAAGTAAGCAAAGAGACTGTCATTGCAATTCAAGAAACATAAAGGATATGAACAAAACACACACAAATGAAAAACATTAAGATATCGGTTGTACATCGACCAAATCTATGTCAATATGTAAATGAGAATATTCCCCACGAACCCTCCACCCTGGCGCGATTTCCTTTTTTCCCTCACAAACTTATTTTATAAGTTCCAATTAAAAGGCTACAAGTGCTAGATTTAAACTTTTAACTTTCTTGGAAGCTGGCACTCTTCGCCTTGCACGTTTGTCTTTCCCATCCAGCTCTGCCCATAGAGGGAAGTCACTGTCGCTGTTGGATTGTGGACGGTTGAGGGAGGCATGGGTTTGATTACATACTTCTACATCTGGTCTACGTAAGCGCTGGAGGTACCTGGCACAGACAGAGCAGGAGTAACGACAATGTAAACTGAGAGAGTATCATTGTGGAGGAGCAAGATGAGCATCTCAGACGCTCAAACAAGAGTCCTGTTAGCATTTGGTCACATTTGGGTGTGACCTGCATCCCATTGAGCAAGAGTTTCATCATGCATACACCGAGCTGTGTCAGTGACAGCAAACCCAGGTTCATCTATTCAGTTTAACAACCAAGGTGTTTGGATGAAGTTCTTACCCTTCAGCTTCTTTTTGCATCAGTGCTCGTCTTTGATTTTTGTATTTCTCCTGCTGTCCTCTCCTGGTGCCCTTTCTTCCCTCTCAGACGCCTCTGCTCCAAAACTATGGAGACGAGGGTACAGAGGAGGAATGTGGAGTCAAATATAGGAGGAGTTCTCAACACCCATTTCCTCTAAACTTTCCCTGCCCTCCCCCTCAAATCTGTGGTCTGGACCGACTCAGCACCAAAAGTAACATTCCTCTGGACCTGCATCAACACAGAGCATTTTCTTTAAAGCTATACAGCAGACGTGATCTGCATTAAAGTGTGCAACACAAGATGAGGAGGTGAACCCATTATTCAGAGTGTATGGAAGAGGCAACAAGATTCAGACAGTAGAAACATCACAACTCTAACAGCGGTTGATGTGAGGGTTTGCATTGGTTGGATTTTATATGGTAAAATACAGACTTTTGTACCAGGTACTCATACTGTGCATCCAGCTCTGCAGCTCAGACCACCACACTCTTATCTAAGTGAAGTGATTGAAAGGCAGGAAATTAGGGCTAATTAACCGCCCACTTCTGACTGTGAACGTGCGGGAAATCTCAGACCACCCAAAGCTCAACACACAAAATGAAATCCTCAGAAAGAATATCCAATGATGTCTAAACTCTATTTTATAAACTGTTAGAGTGATCATTATTTAATAAATGATGTCCCACTAGGAAAGGTATTAAACGTCTTTTTCACCAGTACAATAATAAAAACATTAAATAATATAATATGTATATTAACACACATAATGTAACACTACCCACTAACAATACAGCAATATATGTTCAAAAGGTGATACTAATGTAATTCAAATCCCACATTGTGTTGATATTTTCATACTGTTTCATCCACATATAGATTGCACTGACAGAGAAGTTGATTTGCTTTGTTATTTGTGTACTGAACACACTGTAAACAATTTACCAGCAGCTGCAGCCAAATCAGATGCATACACCACAGTGTTACACTATTATTAATAACATTGTGGATTATTATGAATGTCAAATAAACGTGTGAGCAGTATTTTAATTTTGTTGTTGTTTGTTGTGCTAATATGAACTATGTGATATATTTTGAGTGGTCTAAATTTCAAAAATAATGCTTCAGATTTTATTGTAAGTTTTGAATATGGGTTCTGGTAAAACCGTCCTCCAGAGTTGGGCCAACATGCACATGACAGTTCTGTTGAGCTGAATTCAGCCTGATGCTGGCAATGTTGGTTGGGTTTTGGCAACCCATGTCCGGCCAGTATAGGTAAAGTCCATTGAATGATCGATTGATGCCCGGTACGATCATTGCCGGTTCACTTTCAGCAGCTCGACCCGGGCCACTGTACTTGGGCTGATTCTGGGGCGTCATTCCAAACAGGTTTGGCACAAGTCTGGCAACCTTACTTGAGCCCAGTTATTTCCTCCGGCCTGCAGGATTTGGGCCATAATTGAGCCAAACCAATTTGGCTTCTTTTTTTTGCAGTAACCATCCAAACATGCAGTGGATTAAAAATGTACAACAATACATCTCTGTTGTATCTTAGAACAAAAAAAAACGACTGAAGGAACAGAGACAAATGAGACAAACCATCACACAACTCGTCGTTTTTCCTGATATTTACCGAGGACTCCAAACTACTCACGTTGTTACAGGTCCCAGAAGATGCCTTCAGGGACCCACGGACAACTCTCAGTGTGTGAGGAGGAAACAACCGATCTAACCCAAACCACAGAAAAAGACCTTCTCCTGAACACAGCTCCAGCATCGATCCCACGCACTTTACTCTCATTACCGCTGTGTCTTACGTCGAGGCTGCTTTAGTTCTGACCTGTTGAAGAATCCCAAAAGTTCGCAGAGTTACAGTTGCGCGTTGTATTGTTTCGTTACGCATCGATGTTAATCGTTAAAGTAACGGTCTGCTCGCGTGTTTACGTCACTGCTGCTGCTCTGGAACGAGACGACACGTTCATCTCCATGACAGCGACGAGAAAAACAACTTCAATCCAAAGTGTGAGGGTTTTTCTGTCGACACCAAACTAATGGATTCATCAGAGGTAAGAACACGATTTAACTCAACTGCAGATGTGACATTTCATTTTCTGTCGTTCTTTCTTTATTTCTTTGCACTTTATTTTCTTTCCTTCTTTGCATTTCACTTTCTTTCCTTCTTTGCATTTCACTTTCTTTCCTTCTCGCTCTCTTTCTTTGCACTTTCTTTTCTTTCTTTCTTTCTTTGCACTTCACTCTCTTTCCCTCTCACTTTCTTTGCACTTTCTTTTCTTTCTTTAATTTTCTCTCTCCATCCTGATACGATTCTCATCATTACAATCTGTTGCTCTTCATGCACCACATAAACACATGGAATGAGTATTTCAACAGAAGCCGCTCCAGCTGTCGCCACAGAGACACAGCTGCTCCCCACAAAGCGCAGACAGTTTAACCACAGTCAACACAAGTGTCAGTTCTGTCTGTAGTTTGTCAGGATTCTTTTTGGAGCCATTTTTGGGATGAAAACACTGTCACACAGGAAAATCCTTGAGAGGTGACACAGATATTTCACCTCACTCTTGTTCATGGCCCCACTGAGTTTCAGAAGTTTTACTGTAGAATGTTTGAGAAAATGAAATGCAAAGTTGGCTACTTTTTCATTATGGCACCCATAACTTGATCATGTAATATCATTTTTTTAATCCTTGAGAGGTGACACAGATATTTCACATCACTTTTGTTCATGGTGACCTCCGATGTCTGCATGTCAGGTTTCAGAAGATTGAATTGTAGAAAATGCCAATGACACTCACACTTTTATATAAACTACATGTTCTCCTCCTTAAAGTCCAAGTCAGATAATTGGACTGTACTTATATGTTACATTTCCCAGTCTTTTCAACCACTCAAAGTGCAAAAACACAAAGACAGTACCAGACATTCAATCAGCATCAAGCCTTTTCTATATAGTAAGACCTTCTCTGGACTTCAGGGCCACCGTACTTTACAGTAGAAGTTACATTCACTCATTCAGACAGCACTTCAATACTCAGCTTTTTCTATCACAGACGTCAGGCAGTTTGGGGTTCAGTAGCCCAAGGACACTTCAGGATTGAACCACCAACCCTCTGGTTAATGGATGACCCTTTCACCTCCTGAGCCACAGCCACCCATGATGTCCTGTATGAAATGAGACCCATGTTGTCCACAGGAGGAGCTGGAGCAGATCACCACATGGTTGACAGAGGAGGGATGTGCTCCCGGCTCCCCTAAAGAGGCTCAGCTGTGTTTTCTATGGCGTGGCCTCCAGAGCACCAGAGCCTGTCTGAGCAGAGTGACCCGGGAGCAGGACATGCAGCGCTCACAACACTTGGCAGAGATGGCAGAGGTAAGTTACTGCATCTCCAACTTTGTCAGCTGGAGAAAGAATATGTCAAAGTCTGGAGACGTCTGATGTTTTTGTTTTTCTGTGAGGTGCGAAAATCCCTGGAGCAGATTCGCATCTTTACAGAGCAGAAAGACGTGTTGGCTCAGCAGATCCAAGACGAGAACGACCAGCTCAAGGAGCAGCTGCAGCAGCTAATCTCCCTTCAAGGTTGTACACATTAATCACATCACCATAGCAGGAGCTTGTTAAAACTCATACCTCTGAGTCTTTCTCTCTAATATTTCAATATATACTTCCAAGTGTTGATATTTATCTTCAGATTATTGCCTGACCGATTAATCATAAAGAAGTGGATTTGAGACTTGCAAAGACATATCTGCACTTATGTTTAAGTTTTTAAAAAAACTGTGGAAAACTATACAGAAAAATGTGCATCTATGTTGAAATTTTACTTAAATTGTGTTTCTTTTCTTTTCTTTGTTGTCTTAGTGTTTTCTTTTTACTTTGTTATTTATAAAAAAGTTTATGATTCATCGTAGAATATCAAGCTTTAATTACATTCCTTTATTTGATAATGAAGGAATCATTGCCACGAATTAAATTCAGCCTCTATATCATCAACATGTCGACAAATCGGTATCTGAAACTTTTTACTCTCTAATATTAGTATTGACCACAACATCTCAAATCAGTCAGACTCTATTTAAAATTAAATGGACTTTTTCAAATATTTTGAGGAAGTCATTTAGATTTTTCTTTTCTTGTTTTTAGCAGTAATCTAAAGTCATACAAGCATGCAAGATGTGTAAATCAAAATACTATATAAACAAAGCCATTAGTGGGGTAGATTAACTTGATGTGACCGCTCCCTTGGAACAAGGTCAGCAGATAAGATCAGCCTCCACATTTACAGCGGCAGTGAAATAAAACCAGTCTCCTTCCTCTCCCTCTTTACTGAGACAGACGCCCAGATAAGCGAGGTGGCTAAAATGCTGTACCAGCAGGGCCTCACAGAGCTGATTCACAGCAGCCCCAGTGAGCAGGTGGCGTACCTGCTAGTGGAGAGGGCCTCGCTGCAAGAGACAAGTGAGCATCTTACCAACAACAGCAACAACTTGATGAGTGCTGGAGACAGCGGTAGCCCACGGAGGACAGAGACACAGGTTTCCAAGAGCAACGGACGAGAGGTCAGAGGACGAACATCTATTCATTTAATGACTCCCCTGTCTGTGTGTGTCAAAGGACCATTAAGGTGTTTAACTCCAGGTGATTAACCTTTGGAGCTGATTGTTTAAAGGTCAAAGGTCAAAGATCAAGATCAACAGAAACATAATCTCTGTAAACACATTCTGCATGTTGGCCGTGGCTCCAGAGGATCATTTGAGATGTGTCTACAAGTAAGATTATTCCCAACATTGTATTTCCTCTGAAAAGTGATGTCATGATGAAGTCACTGAAACAGTCAGAATGTTTTTTGCTTCCTGTTGGACTAGAGGACCTGAGGCTTATGTAGATTGAACAATAACTTGTGATCATATAATAGGATAATGATGCCCCACTGTCATTCATCATTATGAAATTATTACAATATAAAATAATAATTTAGAAAGCGAATGTTGTCTGGTTGGGGTATTTACAGCTTACAGGTCGGTATTCATCACCCCTCTGATGCTTTTCATTGACAATTTAAAGGTAGAGGTCATCTAAAAGTGAGAGTCACAGCTCAGACGTCACATTGCAGTTCATTGACTTTTAGTTTGATACTTTGAGCCTAAACACGCAGAGCTCTCAGTCAGGAATGTACAAGAATTTACTCTCCATCATATGAGAAAATAGTGGATTTTGTGAAAGTTTGATTCTTCCTTTGTTATTTGTCTTTTGAAGCACGTGATTCCTCTTTGTGATATTTCTTGTACGATTAAGTCATAATGCAGTCAGATTCATGACGTAATATCTTCTAGAGATTTCTGCAGTTGTCAGAAACATTATTTCTCTGCGATCAAATGATTTACTCTGTGATTCTGTGATCTCATCTCATCCCTCAATCTCCCCACAAGGGGGCACCACATCACAGCCATAGTCCCTGGAGGAGACTCTTATTTGGGCTCCACAAAGCTTCACACAGCAAACCTACTTTTATTCCTGTACGTACTCAGATTTACAGTCATGTGACTGCATCCTGTTTCAATATTAACAAATACTAAAAACTATCAACGTGCATGTGTGACTGTGAAGATTTTTTTGCATGTTGTCTGTTAAAAACTCAGCATTAACTGCTTCCCTCTTTTTGTTCCAGTGTGATTAAGATCTGCTACCAGCTCAAACTAGGGAGCTTTGCATGGCAGAAGAAAGTCAAGACACAACGCCACATGTGTGTCTTGATCTCATGCACTTCTCAAGGTCTCTTGCATGTAATTCTGAAGATTCCTCTCTTTGCACTTACTGGTTTGCTTCAGAGCCGCTGTGATCTTGGTTGTCGGTTGACTGGTGTCTCTCTCTGCAGGCTGAGGCCAGACATTCGAGCGGCCAGTCGAGCAGTGTGGAGTGGAAGTGCTCTCGTCTGGAGCGGGACCTAGAGGAGGGCTCCCGCCGGCTGGCCATGGCCCACAACGAGATCCGACGATTGACTGATGAGCTGGATTCGGCACACTTGACCCAAAAGACTTATGGTGAGAGGGAGGTTTAACATTTTCTGTGAAACAGAGGAAAAAAGTCAATTCTTATCTCTCTGGGAGTTTAATTCAGCATCTTCAGATGGACTCACAGCAGAGTCACACAAGATGCATGAATAAGTACAGAGCTTGTGTTTGCTTTTAGACATGCTGATGACGCTTTGAATGGTGGGCTAAACATTACCTTGGCTTTGGTACAACAACAGCAACTTTATTAATACTCTGCAGGGACATTTTATTTGACACAGCAGCACAAAGAGGGAAAAAGTAGGAAGAAAAATGAGAATAGAAAAATTAAGGTGCACAAATTACAGCAGAGACCCAAAAAATATTACACATGATGTAAAGTTATTTTCATCCACACCAAACTGCACCCAACTCGGAAATATCAGCCCACTAAATGTTGTCAAGTCAAGATCTGTGCGTTATTCCCTGAAACATTGATTAAAATGTTGAAAAGTCGGCCCCTTAATCTGCAGCTACACCAACATTGAATGGGCTTTTTTCCCAGACCCCATCCCTCCTTCAGGTTTGGTGAAAATCCATTTTGGTAGTTTTCACCATAATCCTGCTAAACAAGAAACCAACAAACAGACAGAAACAGTTAAAAACACAACCTCCAAAAATAGATTTAAAAAAAGGAATACTACCTAAAATAACAATATATAATACAATATAGATGTATTTTATAAATGTACAATATCCCCATGTAATACAGATTATTAATATACACGTGCATCCTGGGATTTCTACTGTGATTTGAAGGGAATACACAAGATCTAGAACTTTTCATTAGAAGGTGATCAGCTCCAGATAAGTGTCACAGAGAGTTTTCATGGCCATAATACAGTATGCTGCTGTCACTGTGATTTTCCTTATGCTTTTATTCATCCTTAAATCAAGGCTGCGATGGTCCTGAGAAAAAGAGAAACATCGCAAACTTTCAGTCAGATCCTCAATCGATATTTGTTTGTTACCAACTTTCCAAAGTTATTTTAACATCATACAAAAGCCAGAGAGACTCTGAACTAAAGCCGAAGTTTCCAATCTCTGCAGCAACTTGTGTGCAAGAGTTCTGTGCAAACATCTGCGTTCTATTCCATCGTTTGTGTTTTTCAGAGCCTGAGCTGCAGGCAGCGCAGCAGGAGGTGGAAAAACTCAAGATGTTTGGTGAGATTAAATTTTTTATGCGTATTCTTTAATTTTGTTTTTTCAGAGAAAGTTCTGTGTTTTTGAATGCAACGGAGAGAAAAGCTCGGGGTTACAATCTCACTCTCATCGCTCAGAATACTTTGTGTCTAGGATGATTCTGTTTGGGAGCTGGAGATTATTCCATGGTGTACTGGGTGAGAGGCAGAGCCAGATCACAAGTGTATAAAGGGCGAGCACACACAAACACACAATAACGGTTTGCCTGAAACGAGAACCATGAATTTTGTCTCTCATCACTTGAATGCATTTTTTAGGAATGGGCAAGCATTCAGTTTTATATATATTTATATGTATATAAATTCTGCATGGTAACAGTGACATTCTTTATAATATGTATTATTGATAGTCTGACAATCACATGATCTGACTTTATTTCAAAAGAAACGGTGGAACAGCGAAAGGCCAAAGAGCTGAACGATCGTCTGGATTTTGAGATCAGAGTTTTGAGGAACAGAGTTCGCTCACTGGATGCTGAAAAAAGGTCTCTGCAGCAGATGGTAAGATATAATGATGATGATGATCAACATCCCATGGTCAGTTTTCTTTGAAATTTCTGAAAAGTTGGCTTGTAGAATGAAAATGTGAATCTATACTTCTAACAACTTCTTTACTGATTTATGTCCATTTGGCTCAGTGCAGCGTGAAAACTGAGAAAAGTACTGCAACTAAAACAGACAATTAACTGTGTAAAATAAAAAAACAATAAATAATAATCGATAAAGAAATCAAGAATTACTGCGCAGTGGTTAAATGCCTCCACCAACCAGTGCAGTTTCAGTCTACGTATATTATTTTTCCAGACTCATATGATGTCACTGTGACCTTTGACCACTGAAATCAAATCATTGATTCATTGAGTCCAAATGATAATTTGAGCCAGATTTAAAATGATTCTCTCGGGGTGTTCCTAAAATGTTGTGTTTACAAGGGTAAAAAAAAAGTTTATGAAGTTACCTTGACTTGTGACCTGCAACTTCTAGTAGGTTCAAGGTTGAGTCAAACTGATTGCTGGACCTATCAGATCGTACGACACCTGTGGTTTGATGTTGTTTTTTTGTCTCAGGTTGTATCTTTGCAGGAGGAGGCGGAGCAGCTAGAGTCCGACCTGCAGGAACAAGAGCAGCAGATCCACACTGTGCAGCTTCAGGCTCAGCACGACAATGAGCTGGCTAAAGTAAATGCTTTTAGTTATTACATTTTTCTTTATCATTACAAGAGAAAGTGACACCCATCATCAACATCCCTCTTTGTGCATGGAATTATTGTTCTTATACTGATGCAGTCTTTCAAAAGAAGGACACAGAGTCAAATACAAACATCACTTTCAGCAAATGTAGCTCAAGATATGAGGTTATTGTGAGTTAAACCCTGTTTGTTGTTCTTGTTGTGATTTTAGTCGCGGGAAACTGAACTGAATCAGAGCATCCAGGTTTGCAGAGATTTACAAAATAAGCTCAGTGCTCAGAAGAGATGCACTTTAGAGGAGTCACAGGTAAGTCAATCTGTATGTTAAAAGATTCTTAAGAAGTAAAAAATAAATGTATTAAATATACATAATATCAATCCAGTATCAAAAAAACAGATATACTCATAAATCATGCCCAAACCTTTTCTCACCCCTTCAGATACATTATCTCAAGCAGCATCTGGATTTTTGGAATCAAAAAGAGGCAAATCTAAAACACTGTGAAAACTTGAAACAGGAAAACTCCTTTACCAAAGAGAGTAAAGAGCAAAAGCTGAACAAGGAAAACACACTGAATAAGGTAATATCTTACATATGCTGCTAATATACCAGAACTAATTGGCCTTCCTGTGCTGTGTTCTTTTTATCAGAGCAAAAGGACACGAACAGTTACCATCCAGGTGTTAAACTATAAAGCTGTAAATTCTTTTGATTTTTCCAAACTGACTTTCCTAATCTACAAACTGTGAATATGTCTCGCAGGAGTTTGGTGAGGATTCAGTCAGAAATCTATTGTCCAGCCAAGATGAGTGTGAGACACTGAAGAAGGAGATCTGTGAAACCCTCAAATCCCTCGACAAAGAGCGCAGGTAACAGGCCCGTGACACCTGCAAACACTTCAGACTCAGAGAGATCTTGGTAACGGGACATTTCATTTTGGTCGCCTATTAACTGCATCATATCTGCTTTACCTGGGGCTTTGTTCGTCTCTGCTTCAACTTCCGGGTCAAACATAGGAAAAACATGAGACAATCACACTGCTAGTCAGTTAGCCATTCAGCTGTTTAAACCCGCTGCTCTTTTTATTGGTCACTAGAAATGGATTCTGATATATTACTTGCTGTTTGCTGTGTAACGTGAATAAAACTTCTTTACATTACCTCATCTGTGAACATACCTGGGTTGCATCAGGTAGACTCCCATGATCCCACGCTGCTTCATGACATCATCAAACTAGGTCTTCTGTTATTGTTTTTATTGAGAGACCCCTAGTGGCCAAAGTGACATATTGTACATTTGAATTGTATTTGATTTTTGGAAATCAGCTCATTGACAATGTCACAGCTTGAAAATCTGCATTTCACACCCTGATATGAATCATGACTCATGTTGTATATTTGTCCATCTGTTGACAGCAAATACCACGAAATGAAGGAAAAACACAAGGCCAGAGTGAGTTGGGCCAAACAAAAGTTTGATGATGAAACCACATGGCGTGATGAGAAGATAAAAGGTCTCGAGCGTGAGCTGTCCCTGTGTTCCCATTCATTAACAAAGGTAAACCTGCAGCTTTGTCTTTCTTTCTAGAGTTTACATAAAAGACATGAAGCAATACAATGAGGAAGAGGGTATAGTAGATGCTGGTAATGCACCTTGACGTTGGTTGCCACCCGCCAATAAACCGAACAAAGAAGAAGAAGAATGAACATAAAAATTGCTGTAGAGAGGTATTGAAAATAAGATGAAAAAGAACGTGTACGCATAGAAACAAGTCAAGTTCAATGGTAATTGTACTTTTTGTAAATGTTTGTCTTTTCCAGGAGAAAGAGCTTGTTGTGAGTATAACTGCAGAAAATGACAAACTACTCGCTGAGAGGACGAAGTTGTTACAGCAGCTCAACGAGGAGGAGCACAACAAGAAAGACACAAATCTAACTGCTGCTTTGTTCAAGTGCAGGTTCTAAATAAGTCCACACACAGTGTATAGCAAAAGTCATTTTTGTGACATGTGTGTTCACTGAAGAAGACAAGGGTTTTTTTTTCTGATTGTAAGGGCGGATTTTCTGGAGGAGGAAAACAAGAAACTGGGAGAGAAAATAATCCACATGTCAAATCAGCTGAGTGTCCTGGAACGAATCCTACAGAGCCAGCAGTCACGTCACTTTGCTGAGGTACTGGAAGCAGTAACAGCTGTTTTATCTGTAAATGTAGGCTGTGATCTGGAGCTGCTGTTCTTCATGTTATTGTAGTTTTAAAGCTACTTCAGATCAGCTGCCCTCTGACTCAGGGACATGACTAAAAGCGAACTTGTGAGCCTATAATGCCTCAGACGTCCTCAGGGTAGTAAAGAATTTCCGATAGGGA